CATCACCACCCACCGCCTACTCTTGGTCTACTCTTTTGCCAACGAATAGTGGGATTGACCATCACATTATAACGTCCCCACGGCTGAAAAGGCGAGCATGTTTGGTGTGACGGGGATTCGAACCCGCGACCCACAGATTGCGAGTCGAGCGCCCTAACCACCTGGCCATGCCGGGCCCACAAAAAAGGATAAACGTGATAAATCCTTGAAAGTGCTGTTAAATTTGTATTTTGGTTCATACTAGAAAGCCATATTTAGGTATAATATATAATGAAAATCTAAAATAAACAAAAACTATTGTATTAATTTACAAACCCTCTGCGTGAGTTGACGAACGAACTTGTGTAGTAGGAACTCAAACGATTTTTTACAGTCTTCAGAGCCATTCTATTTCTCCTACGCTTCAATAACCTTAAAATATTGTTCTAATGTTGATGTGTGTGTTTAATTACAGTGTTTACGAGTTAAATACAATAGTTTAGATTTGTTACAATACTTGTGTAAACACAATGTATAAAAAAGTGCAATTTCTCAATGCTTTTGAACAATTTCATTTCAGATTTTCTACTATTTATTTTAATAAAATACTATTACAATGCTTCTTCAGTCTTGTTAGATATATTATTTTACAACTTCTTTATTTTTACTTCTGCCTTTTATTTTAAAGAACTGTCTTTCATTACGAATATTTGCTCTCTGCAATTTTTTAATCATATTTTTTGCATCTTTTTTTTAAATTAGTGGATTTGTTTCAACGTTTGATTTTTATTCACAAAGAGTGGAAAAATCAATAACTTATTAATGCGAATAAAATAAAATTAAAATTAGAAATACATTTCAATAAATGCAGTGTTTACTGGTTACATTAATTCCAATATCTTTTCTTTCTCTCTCTCTGTCTTTGCTGTATGTTATATGTATTTTCCACCAATGTTAATTAAACCATTTGTTTGTTTATTTTTGTTTTTCATTATGTATTCAACAACAGGATATGAAATGTAAAAACATAACTTATATTAGAAAACAATTGTCGCTAGTAATTGTTTAAAAGGTCTCTTAGAGTCTATATAAAGAAAACATTCAATTAACTAGTTTCATTTCCTAAAGTATGTTCACATTAGACTATTACTTACGGTTTTGATAATAATGTACTCAAAATCCACAAGAGTTTAATTTTCTGTATCAGATCTTTTAATTCATCTATATTTCGTGCTTTTTTTCTTCTTTTTATATTATGCTTTGAATAGAGTGAATGTATTTGGAGGTAAGACTGATTTGTTTATGCTGCATTTTGTTATTGATGTTGAGTTCTTCGTTTATATATTTTACAGTAATGATATCTAAATAGCTAAGATGAAACTTTCATGTAAAATTAACACTTTAACACACTTTGCTTGCTGTTTCATTGCTCCTTATTTTATAAAAATGTATTACATATTGTGAAAATAATTTTTTACGATCTTTATGGACTACAAATCTTAAGTTTTGTAAGCTAATTTGAATTAGTTATGCATAAAATTAAGGTATTTGTCTCTTGCGGTAAGAATAGTTTTATAGGTTTTTTAACTTTAAAAAATTTTAAATGTAGAATAATCGAACAAAGTTATTTTTAAGCAGCGTGTCAAACATTTCCAATTGTGCTCAATTAAACGCTATTAGTAACTATTAATAAATGTTTTAATGATTTCTCAAATATTGCTCAAATTGATGGTTTCGTAAACGATTCAAATGTGAGAAATAATTACAAGTAAAGAAAACTTATAAATATTCCATTAAGTTACCAGAAATTAAATTTTTAAGTTTCAAAGTGTACCAAATAAGACTATAATGAACTTAATTAACAGTCATAGAAAAGTGACATTAAGTGGGTAAGTCTATCACGACCTTGCAAATAATGCGGTTATTTCAGAGAAGAAGACCCCAAAATTTTCAGTCTAAATATAAGAAAATCAGTTTTGTTCTAGAAACTTCTGCTGATTACACTTTCGTTGCTTAGATCTTCTACAGAAATTCATTATTTATAAGATTATCAAAACAGTACGTAGAAACAAATATGCTGGATATTCTTGCTTTAAATATATATAATTGATTTTTATTTGTAATTAAGCACAAAGCTATACAATGGGCTATCTGTGCTCTGACCACTACGGGTATCGAAACCCGGATTCTAGCGTTGTAAGTCTGCAAATATACCGCTGTGCCACTGGGGGGGGGGCTATATAATTGAAAATTCTTAGGTTTTAGATAAGCACTACACACTGGGTTAAATTATCAGAAATCTATTATTTAGGCATTAGGAAATTAGTAATGACTTAGAAGTCGTAGAAAAATATTTAAGTTGAAATATTTTCTATTAGTTCTATGACAATTTATTTTTGAAGGTTTTCCCATTTGTTTTAAATCAGTATTGGTAAATCAAATATAGTAATATTGGAATAAGTTCGTATTTTTTCTAAGTTCCGATTTTTAAAACATGTTTCTTGTAGTTATATAAGTCTTCTAGTGGTCAGCAATAACTTTG